GGGCCCGGCCCCCGCCCCCCCCCCCCCCCCCTCCCGCACCTCGTGGTCGCCACATCCCTGGCTAGAAAAGAAAACATGATTAGAAACTATTCTGTTCAAATTGTTGATTTTTAATGAACAATTCAATTATATATATATTATATCTAGACTCGATTATTGTGACAATACAGAACAGTGGCGGATCCAAAAAATCAATGAGGGGATGGCGGTTTGCTGAAGGTGGTAGCGGTCATGGTAAAAAACCAGTTTTTGAAGCCTATTCAAGGCAACACCAGTGCTTTTGTTTTTATTTCTGCTGATGAAAAATGGAAAAAAATTTCGCGAGGGGGTGGCAGTCGCCGAATCGCCTTACGGTAGGTCCGCCACTGATACAGAACATAGAACTGTATTGAGTTCCTCTCCAGTAATGAGGAAAAGAAAAAAATTAATCAATGTAATTTCTTCTTTTTCTTTCTCTCTCTTGTTTTTATTATTCTTCCATAAAATAAGCATTATCAAGAAGGACATAAGTAATTATTTTACATTAATATTTAACCCTGAAACGCCCACCTTTCGGACTACCACTTGTTGGACCACTGGGGTCCATATGGGCCCCAGCCTGATAAAATAGCACAATATACTGTATTACCATTATTTTGTAATGAAACTATAATGATTCTGAAGAAGATTTGAGTATAAGAAGAATAACTAGAGCAGCAGTTAATTTGAATGGTATTTATTCAATCCTTTTTACTTTGTTCTCATCCTCTATTCTCAAAATGTTTGAAATTGCGTATTGCATATGAAACATTCACGCATATTCTCAGAAAAGTTTTTCTTTTGAAGATGGTTGGCATGCAACAAGGTAATCTTTTGGAAAAGAACTGTTTCTACGTACGTTACATTCTGCTGAAACTTCCGTATTGATAAGAAAAGTCTTACTGAAATGTTTCGCACGTTTTGCCATGATTTCTTTCTTCCTTACAGCTGAAATTTAGGCGATATGCAAGGTAGCTGGAAAGTTATCGTTTCTGAGGTAACAGTCTCTTTTTACAGCATTGGAGTGATTGATTGTTGTTATCGGCGAACTCTGCTAAGTGTCCCTAAAATATAGATGCAAGAAAAAGATTCTATCTAAGGCTACAATTACAAAACATTAAAAAGAATTTTACTGGAATTTGGGTGGGTAACTAGCGCCCAGATGTATTTCGAGATAATTTATCACATAAACAACTAGTGATGACGAACGCCTGACGTCAGCAGCATATTATACTAATCTTCACTGCAGCATATCTAGAGAGATGTGATTTGATCTGACGTTGTGTGTGTATAATACTAAAATGAAATTAGTTGGGACCTAGGTGGACCATACGTAGACATTTCAGGGTTAATTTCAAAAACTTTTTCAATAATTATTCATTTTATTCTTGCTTTTCTTTCTTGCTTCATGTCGATCAATAATAAGACAAACTTGAATTATCTATAAAAATAAATAGTATCGAACTTTTACTCGCCATTCAATGACTAATAAAGTATCTTTTTAATTAGAAGTATAGAAATATAAAGTGAGTAATTTCCAATTTTAATAAATATAATTAGGAAAAAATAATTTTATTTCTATATAATTGAAATCATAAGAGAAACAAATATTAATGATATAAGACTTTCTACATTAAATAGCTCAGATTTATTATCTCTTGAAAACAATTACAATATTAATTATATAAAAGTCTGTGATAATTAGCTATGAGAATTCTTTTATTTTTATTTTTTGATATAAATTAACTAAGACTTTAGACATAAATTGGATTTTCATTTAAGATAAGTTGTTGTCCAATCAAGAGTTTAACTATCAGATCATCAAGACATTGAAATAATATCCAAACAACTAGATCAACTGTATCTTTGAAATTTTGATCAGCTTCAAAATTTTATAATTAAATAAACTAATCTATTAAATCAGGCATTTATTTAATAGAATATATCATTAGTTTTAAAGTGTGAAGAACTTTCAATTTTCATTTATAATATGAAACTACGATAAGCAAAAGTTCTATCTTATAATTATTTCAAAAATAAATTAAATTAATTTGATAAAACATGAATAGGATTGTCTTATAATCTTGTTGAAAATCAATTTTTTGAACCATATGATAAAAAAAATTCTTTTTTTAAAATTGTTTTCATGACTCTTGGTTTTTTCTCTTTATACAAATAAATAAAAATGCATACTTCTCATTCTTAAGCATATTGCACAACAAATTGTTGATAATGATTGTTATAAGTAGTAATATCCATTTAAGCTATAGATTCAGAACGTTTAATATCAAGTTTTTTGTATCGATTTGCTATTCTTGATTATGAAAAACAAAAATACATTTATTTTGAAAATTTCATGTAGGAAATCAATCTTACTCGAATCGAATCAACATTCAGTACCCTAGTCGAGAATCCTTTAACGAATGTACATGCATTCCCCCAAGAAAAACTCTACAGATTCACGACAGGAAGTCTCTGAGGATTTCTAAGGAAGTTCATCGGGAGTCTCTAGGAATTGTTCAGGGAGCGGCTCTATAACTGACTTTGTAGTTCCTCATAAAGAACAGTTTCCTGAGAGGTATAGAAGCCAATACATTACATTTATCAGTGGTATTATCCCTCAGCTACATGCCTATCTAACTATCTATCTATCTATCTGCCTTCGTATCTAGCTACCTATCTAGAGTGCGGTGTGTGTGATTGTGGCTGTAGCGGCGGTTGTAACTGTGCGTGTGGCTGTTAGTGAGCATGTGGATGTTCGAGATGAATATTGACACACATCTGCATCCCCACTCACACCTACACACATTCCATGCTCACACTCATCCACATCCGAAACCCATACCCTACTTGAATTGCTTTGGTTGGTTGCTTTTGCCTACTTTATTCGTACTTGGAGAATGTTGTTATTGGTATCGGCTTTGTTCACTGCGCCATTTTGTTTATTCTATTGGTATAATTTTCATAATAGTCGAGATTTCATTTGACAATAATCGAAAAACACATATTGAATGTTAATTGTATTTTATTGCATTAGGATCTTGCCTCAAAGTCCTCAATGGCTTGCAAGTAAAGGACGATATGACGAGGCTGAGAAGATTTTCAAGAAAGCTGCCTTGCTTAACAAAAGAAAATTTGATCAAGAAACATATGAAAGATTTAGGAGGACTCAAAGAAAAACGATAAGTGATTGTAAGAAATATTGTGTTTAGATAGTACTAGACGAGTATTGATCATAGAGTAACGACACGAAGAAATGTCGAACAGGTATTTCAAGTCTGTTTCAATCGAAGATTATGTGTTTTATTACTGTCAATCTCTTTTTACAATGGTTTGTTTCTATTCACATAACCATTTCTAAATTTTCACTTCTATTTTTCTTATCAGGTTCACTCAAAATCTTGTCTATTTTGGTATTTCACAAAATACAGGTAACTGTTAATTTAAATACCAATGACGATTATTTTTTATATGATACCTATTTAAGGATCATGGCAATTCGATCCATATGTTTCATTTTGTGTCGGTGCATTGGTAGAACTGCTTGCATATATTATATTTCATGTTATACTCGATCGAGTCGGACGCAAATTACCTTATTGTTTATTTGCTCTAGCATTCGGTATCTTAGCTATATTAATTATACCTATTCGAAGTTTCACGAAACCAGAACAATCGAGTACGTATATGAGTATTTAATATTAACTTAAATTCTCATTTTAGGTTATCGAATCATTCTGTTTATCATTAATGTCTTCTTGAGATTCTGTGGCGCGATCACATATGCTATTGTCTATCTACTTACCAGTGAGTTATTCCCGACAAATGCACGTACAACTGGATTAGGATACTGTTCAACCGTCGGTCGTTTCGGAGCAATTATGGGAACATTCTGCAACGATTATCTAGTCAGTAAAATCATCTATGATTTTCGCTTTTAATAAAAAATTGAATCAATCTTTGTTAGGCACGCGTGTCAGCCAATCTGCCCATTGTACTCTGCTGAATGGCTTCATTGATTGCAG